AATAAGAAACTACCAGAGTTCCGTCTGTAGACCCATCAACTCTCGATAATAAGAAACTACCAGAGTTCCGTCTGTAGACCCAGCAACTCTCGATAATAAGAAACTACCACAGTTCCGTCTGTAGACCCAGCAACTCTCGATAATAAGAAACTACCAGAGTTCCGTCTGTAGACCCATCAACTCTCGATAATAAGAAACTACCAGAGTTCCGTCTGTAGACCCATCAACTCTCGATAATAAGAAACTACCACAGTTCCGTCTGTAGACCCAGCAACTCTCGATAATAAGAAACGTCCACAGTTCCATCTGTAGACCCAGCAACTCTCGATAACAAGAAACTTCCACAGTTCCATCTGTAGACCCAGCAACTCTCGATAATAAGAAACTTCCACAGTTCCGTCTGTAGACCCAGCAACTCTCGATAACAAGAAACTACCACAGTTCCGTATCTGTAGACCCAGCAACTATCAATAACAAGAAACTACCACAGTTCCGTCTGTAGACCCAACAACTCTCGATAATAAGAAACTACCACAGTTCCGTATCTGTAGACTAACAAAAAAGAAAACGAAAATCTAAAAGCCCTCACTGTTTAAGTGCCTATTTAATGTTGACGTGTAGTGAGCAAATAAACATGATTAAACATGACTAGAAACATGACTAAACATGATTAAACATGACTAGAAGCATGACTAAACATGATTAAACATGACTAGAAACATGACTAAACATGACTAGAAGCATGACTAAACATGATTAAACATGACTAGAAACATGACTAGAAACATGACTAAACATGATTAAACATGACCAGAAGAAGAAACTTCACCATCTTGATTTGTTTGGTTTTTACAGAAAAAGGAAAAGACAACATACAGAGTTATTTCCGCGAACCCGAAATCTGGTGGTCCAACTGACCCACTGGTTTCATGGTATGCAGACTGTAATAATGATCCCAGTGGAATACAAAATGGCGTCATTGTGGCGTTTTGGTAAGTCTTACAATGTTACTTTAAACCTGCTGTGTTAATACTTGATACGGATTTATCCAATATTTCTATTAATCTTTTCTTCATATGTTAATTACTGTAATATTGCTAAGTTCATTCTTCTCACATAATGACCTAATTCTCCTCGAATCCTCAACTATTTACTCAACCTATAACCCAAACCGTTTTCTCACATATCAACTATTTACTCAACCTATAACCCAAACCGTTTTCTCACATATCAACTATTTACTCAACCTATAACCCAAACCCATTCTTGTAGCTCATTGTTTGTGTTGGATATTCGTTATTCTTCTACGTTCTTCTAGCTCATTGTTTGTGTTGGATATTCGTTATTCTTCTACGTTCTTGTAGCTCATTGTTTGTATTGGATATTCGTTATTCTTCTACGTTCTTGTAGCTCATTGTTTGTATTGGATATTCGCGCCAAGAATTACCTGCTCTACCTGTTCTTAATATTCATGTGATAGACAGAAGGCAGCTGGTCAACAGCACTTACCGCCAACTCTTGGGTTCAATAAAAATAAGATGCCAACGTTTCGACATGCAGAATAATTTATTTGTATAAACTTAAAAGCAGAAAAATATGCGCTAAAAAACTCTACATGTTTCCGTGGAACATGCTCCGCCATCTACAGGTACGTGACTGTCATTCACAGCGCACCTATGGCCCCAAGTGCAGAGCGCCATTTTGTGTCAACGAGACACGAGCCATAGACCGGTATGCTTGATCTCTAGACCATGACTGGTCATCCCTACTGAAGTCGCTCTAGTACAGATAGATGGAAAAAGAGGAAATAGTCAGGAAATATGAGAAATGGAAATATTAAATACCAGAGTGGAAGAAAATAATGGAAAAGATAAAGAAATCAACTATAACGACCATATTAAACCATCGTCTTAAAACAAATAAAAACCAAAGGCGCTAGCATAAGTTACTACCCTGCTACTGACGAGAGAAAAAAAGATCGCCCCCCCGTCACTTCAGTGGACCTTATAAAATCTGACACATTCTTTTCTTCCGCTCAAAGCCCAGTCCTTAAGAATGTTAGCTAAGATTGGACATTTAACAGTGACTGACTCTCTGTAAGAAACCTTCGCCATAGTTCACAACGACTACTGGCAAAATGAAAAGAAAAAATATAAGAAAATCCTCTCCACAGTATAGAAAAGTGTCTCTCTATCTCTTGGATACAAAACTGGAAGAAATCTTTTAAATTGGATATCAATAAAGCATAGAAAAGTTCCAGACATTATTTTATGGATATGTGAGAAAATGGTTTGGGTTATATAGGTTGAGTAAATAGCTGATATGTGAGAAAACTTAGAAGAATAACGAATATCCAACACAAACAATGAGCTACAAGAATGTAGAAGAATAACGAATATCCAACACAAACAATGAGCTACAAGAATGTAGAAGACTAACGAATATCCAACACAAACAATGAGCTACAAGAACGTAGAAGAATAACAAATATCCAACACAAACAATGAGCTACAAGAACGTAG